GCAGCAATGCAGAGTGCTATGCTCGGCAGGGGACCAGAGCGCAGTGCCCAGCAGGGGTGCAGAGCACGGTGCTGGCAGGGGAGCAGAGCGCGGTGGCCAGCAGGGGTGCAGAGCATGGTGCCAGCAGGGGTGCAGAGCATGGTGCCCGGCAGGGGTGCAGAGCATGGTTCTGGTAGGGGTGTAGAACTTGGTGCCGGCAGGGGTGCAGAGCACGATGCCCCGTAGGAGTGCAGAGCATGGTGCCAGCAGGGGTGCAGAGCATGGTGCCCGGCAGGGGTGCAGAGCATGGTTCTGGTAGGGGTGTAGAACTTGGTGCCGGCAGGGGTGCAGAGCACGATGCCCCGTAGGAGTGCAGAGCATGGTGCCAGCAGGGGTGCAGAGCATAGTGCCGGCAGGGGTGCTGAGCGCAGTGCCTGCAGTAGGAGAGAGCTGCAGCCGTCAGCAGTGCTGGAGGCAGGGCATTGGCACCGTTGTCTCCCAGGGCTCCCCTGGCTGGGTGGCTGGTCTGGTGGCTCTTGCTTCCCTCCGTCCCCTCCCACCCATCTTCCCACGAATCTGTCCCTCTTCCCCTTTTCTCTTCCTTCCTTCCATCCATCTGAGAAGTCAGCAGCCTGCGGGGAGAGGAGGGCTGTGGGCTGGAGGAGTGTGGCTGGGCGACGTGGGCTGCTGTGACCACCCGTGCGAGGGCTGGTGCAGGATGAGCAGCCCCTGCACCCCCTGACTGTGCCCCTCGGACCCCTCCCGTCCTAGGCTCTCCTGGTCTCCGGGGAGCACGCTCTGGGTCGGGGTGGGCTCCTGCTGCGTTCCCACTGTCAGCTGGGCCTCGCCCCGGACTCAGACCCCGGCCTGCACCTCAGGCTGACCCTCCACAACCACAGCAGGCCCCATTCGTCCGACTTCTCCGGGGAGCTGGAGGTGAGTGGCTGCACCCTGGCTGCCCTAATGCCCTCTGAGCCCTCCCAGGCCTTCAGGCCCCCAACCTCCTGGACAGCCCTGCCACCTCATGGCCGTCCTTGGAACTGCAGGCCAGCACCACTGGTGAGGCCAGTTTGAGCCCCAGCTTAGCCTTTATCCAGCAGGCTCCAGGTCCCTTGGTTTCCTGGTAAACTAGGGACTGATAACACACCTGCCCTGCCCCCATGGGTGCTGCTGCAAGGCCTGAACGTGTCAGAGTGTGCAGCCTGGAGGGCACCTGGTAGGAAACGGCCACTAAAGTGTCAGAGTCTCTATGACTGGTCCAGCCCCGGCCCCCGGCCGGCCCCCCAGGCTGCCCCTCCACAACCACAGCAGGCCCCATTCGTCCGACTTCTCCGGGGAGCTGGAGGTGAGTGGCTGCACCCTGGCTGCCCTAATGCCCTCTGAGCCCTCCCAGGCCTTCAGGCCCCCAACCTCCTGGATAGCCCTGCTACCTCATGGCCATCCTTGGAACTGCAGGCCAGCACCACTGGTGAGGCCAGTTTGAGCCCCAGCTTAGCCTTTATCCAGCAGGCTCCAGGTCCCTTGGTTTCCTGGTAAACTAGGGACTGATAACACACCTGCCCTGCCCCCATGGGTGCTGCTGCAAGGCCTGAACGTGTCAGAGTGTGCAGCCTGGAGGGCACCTGGTAGGAAACGGCCACTAAAGTGTCAGAGTCTCTATGACTGGTCCAGTCTCCCTGCCCCACTGCCCAGCAACCCAGGGTGGCAGGCCGGGGCAGAGCTGGGCTCAGATGCCTGCTCTGCCTCCACCTGGCCTAGAGATCTTTGGAAGAGATCTCTCCTGTCTCCTCGTTTGCGTGAGGGGATTGGATCTTTCACAGGGTGGTGTGTGGGGCCCGGGCACTACTTCCCTGTGCACATAGTAGGTGCTTTGTCAGTGTTGCCATCGCCTGCCTCTGTGCCTCTCTGCAGGCCTTGACCTAGTGACTTCCTCCGCTGAGCCTCGGTCTTCCTCTCTGTTAGATGATGGCCAACCCCACTACCTCTTTGCACTTGTTAGGAAGCCACGTTTGCTCAGCCTCTGCACACAGTAGGTGCTCCTGAGCTGGGTGTCCCATCCCGACCTCTTCCTTCCTCCCACCGTCCAGAGCTGGATGAGCCTGGCCCTTCTGGGCCTGGAGTTCTCCTGGCAGCAGCCACAGCCATTTCAAAAGAGCCGCTCCTTCCATGGCCCCTCTTCTCTGGGACTGTTGGTCTCTGCGTCCAGGCCCTGGAGGGTCCAGCATCTCTGAACCAAGGGCCTGGTACTTGCCTCCCCAGAGTTGGAGGCCTGGGAGAAAGTTCTTGGGGCTTGGCCCACGGGGATACTCAGTGAGCGGCCCTTCCTCTTGCTCCCTGTCCCCAAGCACTTTCAGGGCAGCTGGTCCCAGCTCCTCTGGGCTTCGTGGAGTGACAGCAGCCTCCCCAGCCTTGTTTGGTCCTTACGCCAACCCTGGTGTCCCGGCCAGGGACAGATTCAGGGTGGCTGGGCCCTTTGCCAGGCTGCACAGGGATCCACAAGGCCCTCACTCTTCAGTGACAGCTGGTGGGGCTGAGCTCAGACAGAAGCCACCAGGCAGACTCCCAGTGTGGTCTGCAGACGCCCCGGCCAGTGCATGGTGACCCTCTGGAGGGATCCAGGGCACGTTTCACCCGTCAGTCCAGACATCCCTGGGCAAGAAACCTGCCTGCATAGGAAGACCCCTGCGTGGGCTCCTGGGCTGCCATTAGCCCTCCAGCTCGGGGGGGCTCACCCACAGCAAGGTGTTCTCTGCCGGTCCTGGGGCCGGATGCACAGCCAGCTTGGCAGGGGCCTTGCTCCCTCCAGAGGCTCTGCAGAGGGACTTCCCTGCCTTTTGCTCTGGCTGCCGGCAGGCCTTGGCCCGTGGCATATCATTCCCATAGCGGCCTGTGCCCCCGCTGTGTCTGTCCCTGTGTCTTCTTGGTCCGGTACAACCTCACTTCAACTCAATTACATTTGCAAAGAGCCCATTTTCAATGAAATAAGATCACGCTGACAGGGCTTGGGACTTCGAAAGCTAGCTAAAGAACACAGTTCGACTCACAACACACATAGGCCGCCCTGCAGGCGTGTGCACACACACACGTGATTCCTGATGATTTTGAGAATTGTCCTACATCGTTTTAAACTTTGAGGGCCTCCACTAGAGGCCCAGAGAGGGTGGCACACTTATTCAGGGTTGTACAGCTGATTAGTTGTAGCGTCTACACTAAACCTTAGAACAGCTGAGCCCAGGCAAGGGCAGGCTCCCCACCCTCCCTGCAGCTTCTAGATCTGCCTCTGGGTCTCCCCTGACAGGGTCCCCCCAACCCTCCACAGAGCCTCTTATCCCACCTCCCTGCAGGGTCTGCCAGCACCCCCACCCACCCAGGGCCTCCTCCAGGGTTGCCTTCCCTTGGGGCCCTAGAGTGTCCTACCTGCCCACCCTACCAGAGGCTCACCTGCCCTGCGTGCCCACCCCCCAAGGCTGGGAGGTGTCTGCGAGGCCCGGGTGAGCTGCTCATTGGCCGAGCCTCACGCACGTGTCACCCACGTCTCCTCTGTGGCGGGTCTCACGCAAACTTAGCCTGAGCTGCAGAAGCTCCTGGGTACTGGGCATGCCAAGAACCCGGTGTTCAGGCCCTTAGACCACAGACCAATGGGGTCTGAGTCTGCGGGGCTGGGAGTGGGTCCTGGGATCATTCACTTTAATGTCATTGGGAAGGCAGAGCTGGGACTGCTGGGTCCCGTGTGGCTGTTCTCGCAAGGACTTTCTGCCATGGTAGGGCAGGGTGGGGTAGGGCCCAGACCTGGGGTAAGGGAAGGGGGCAGTGGGCATTCTGCTCTCCCTCTAATCCCTGCAGGTCCAACCTTGGGCTCCCTAACCAGCCCCTTCCTGAGCCTGGGGCTGGCAGGGCCAGGGCCAGGGGTCAGGGGCCGGGTCTCCCCTCAAACGTCTGCCCTCTCCCTCCCAGCTCCACAGCCCCAAGGCTCAACAGCTCGGCCTGCGGGGCCGCATCTCCACCACGGCTTCTCAAAGCCTGGTCCGGCTGGAGGGACATGTGGGCAGCAGGGATGAGAAAGTGACGCTGTCCGTGTCTCAGGGCCCGAGCTGCCTCCAGGCCTCTGTAGCCCACGAGGAGGGTGAGTGAAGGGGACCGGGTTCCAGCTCAGCTGGCTGGGGCAGGGCCCTAACTTGGGACAGGGACCTAGTGTCAAGGGCTCAGAAGTGCATCTGTCAGGATTCGTGTCCCCAGCGCAGAGGCGGGGTAGTCAGCACCACCCGACCTACTGCGCTGCACTGGGGAGGCCAGGCAGGCCCTGGCTGAGCTGCCCAGAGGTGGATATGCCGTGGGGGCTTCAGGTGGGGTTTGAGGCCCTCAAATCCTGGGGCCTGAGGCTTTGCCTGGGGGGTGGGGAGCTGCTAGAGGCTGAGGACTGGAGCAGTGGGCCGCTGGGACTCCCATGGAGTCCATGAAGGCAGGTCCCTTCCTGGCCCCAGGGAGCGGAGAAGAGAGCGTGGTGCTGCAGGTGTGTGCACGCAGGAGGGCCGCTGAGGCAGAGGCCCTGTTTCAGGACGGCGGGCCGCCCACGTCTCTGGGACACCTAGCCCTGCGGGCTGCCGACCAGAACCTCCTCCTGACCGCACAGGGCTGCCAGGAGGCCCTGCTGGGCCACGTGGAGGTGAGAGGGCCCAGCTGGGGGTGGGGCATGCTGCTGGCTGCTTCCTTCCAGGAAAAGGCCTCAGCCCCAGAGCCCGAGTCATTTGGGGCCAGCAGCACCCAGAAAACTGGAGGATTCAGTTCCATGGCGTGGCGCGCACACCCTGGCCCCTGCTGCTGGCTCTAAGGACTTCTACCCACTGCATTCCCATCGGGTCCCGAGGGAGCCCCAGCCTGTCCCTCTGCCCGTGCAGTCCAGGGTGGCAGCGATCGGGTCCCAGGTACAAGAGCGGCTGGAGCAGCAGTTCCGAGGCTTGGATGCCTATGTGAGCAGGATCCGGCGCCTGGTGGGTAGACCACGTTGGAGAAGGGGGGTGTCTGTGGGGGTGCTCCTCTGGCCTGGCTTGTGCCCCCACTCACCAGGCATCCTACCCTAAGCATGAGGACCTGGAGGGCTCTGTGCTCTGGACCCTCACACTGACCCTGCCTCGGTTTCCCTGCCCAGGTGCAGCCGGGGGGGCCCCTGGACAGCATGGCGGGCCTCTTCCTGCAGTTGTCCCAGGAAGGACTGGGAGCCGTGCAGGAAAGTGGCCGGGTAGTGGCCACCTTGTGGGGCCGGAGTCAGGCCAGGTGGGCCCTGACCCACCACTTCCCAGTCTTGGAGTGGCTGCAGGCGGCTCTGGAGCAGCTGCGGAGCGAGCTGGACCGTGAGTGTGGGGGAGAGGGCCCAGCAGGGACCCCGAGACCAGCCCCTCACACTTGGCCCTGGCGTCGTTTCACCCAGAAAGCTGCCTCCTCTGCTGTGGGCCTGCAGCCCCACCTCACCTGCCCCTGCCTTATTTCTCACGGCCCTATGGCCCGTTTTCTCAGTGTGCTGCTTCCGCTCTTAGAGTTTGCACATCTGCTGCCGTCCTTGTGGGCCTGCTGCCCAGGTTTCTCCCGTCCCCGTCTGATTCCTTTAGAGTAGACAGCTTTGTTCTGCAGCTCAGTGCTGCAGGGCCCTGGGCATGCTTCTGGGTCCGCGAGGTGGTCTACGTGGCTGTGCATTACACACTGTCCTGGTCAGTGAAGAGCTGCCGCCCTGAGCCCCTCCCAGGGCTGCGAACCTCTGGCCTCGCCGCACTCCAGGGGCCTCAGGACTGACACCTGGCCCAGCTGGGAGCCCCCAAGACCCTGCCCAGTGTCAAGGCAGAACTCTGGCCCCTGTCACTGCTGTGTCCCTGTGGCCACTCCAGGGCAGCGACTTACCAGGAGGCCTTCAGGACATGGCATGTAGCAGTCAGGGCTGTGATTTATCTCAGTGAAGGCTGCAGAGCAGGAGCTGCAGAGGGGAAAGGCCGGGAGGGAGGGAGAACCAGGAACCCTCGAGTCCCTCCCCGTGAGCCCACAAAGGACACAGCTAACTCCCAGCATTGAACTATGACACGGTGTGTCAAGCAAGGGCTGTCCACGGGGAGCCTCTGAGACCCGAGTCCAGAGTTTAGGGGGGTGGTCACACAGGCATCCTCTGCTCATTGTGTACCAGAGCTCCAGACCTTGGAGGGGAGCAGGCATCCAGCTAAGCCACATGGCATAGGTGCAAGGAGTCCCTTGTGCAGTTCTGGGGATGCCGAGAATCCTGAAACCCACGTCCCCGATGACAGCCAGGACCCACCTCATGGGCAGGCTTTCCAAGGGACAAGCCTGAGGCCTGCTGTCCACTCCTGTGTGCCGTCTCTAGGGCCGGCTACCTTGTATCTGCCCCCTCCCCCACCACCTCATTCCAGGTCCCTCGTCCTGTTTGCTTGAGGCCTGCAGTGCCTGGGCTGGGCTGGTGTTCCTGCCTGGGCCTAGGGTGTGGGCAGTGGCATACCCCCTGCACTCAGCCCCCAGCCTCATGGTGAGCAGTGAGTACCTGTTGCAGGGCCCCTGGCCACACTGGAGGATGCGTACTTGGAGGTGACACTGCGGCCCCTTGATGAGGTGTGGCGAGAGCGGGCCGAGGAGGCCATGCAGCGGTTGCAAGCCTGGATGCCTGGGATGCCAGACAACTGGGAGCTGAGGCCCATCAGGGCAGCCCTAGGAGCTATGAAGAGCACCCTGGAGCTGGTGAGGTGGAGCGAGCGGGTGGGACTGGCCTGGCCTGGAGGGGATGCCCCAGCAGCTCTCAGTGTCCCTCCCCCTCCAGGCTGCCCATCAGCTGCTTTCCTGGGCCGAAGGCACGTGCTCGCGGGCCCTGCAGAGGCTCTGCAAACCCTTGTTAGGCCTGTATAGTTTCTCAGCCAGGTGAGTCGGGATCTGAGCCGACAC